CTATAAAAGAGCTTTAAAGGAGCTTGAAAGGAGCTTTAAAGGAGCTTAAAAGGAGCTTTAAAGGAGCTTTAAAGGAACAAAATAGGAACTTTAAAGGAGCTTTAAAGGAGCTTTAAAGGAGCTTTAAAGGATTCATTCATCCTTTCTAATACAAATATATCTTTGAATTCTTTGCTTAAGATTGATTCTTTGCTCAAGATTGATTCTTTACCTATTCTATCCCCTTTTCCCTTGTAAATGTGCTCTATTTGGGTGTTTTATGTATAAAATTGAAGGCCAAAGGGGTTCTTTTATGAGAAAATTCCCTTTTCTAGCATATTCTCTCAGAAATTCGCGGCTTTATTCTCTTTCTTTTAGACAATGATTTATTTTGTCTCATGAAAGTAATTCTTTTTACAGAATGCTAAAAAACAATCTGTTTCACTGCTCATTCTATTGATCAGCTTTGTTTTTTTCATTTTTTAACAGACTGATCAATAGAGATCAATCAATTATGAATCCTTAAAATTTAAATTCTAATTTCAAAGAATGTACAAGTAAAATTAGGTACTCCGAAAAATGACTTAATTCTTAATGATTTTCAATAGCAAAATTATTAAACAACAATCAAAATAGCACCGTTAGAATTGCATTTTTGTACTAATACATTTTTTGCCAACGAGTAGCCAGTTTCTCGATCCCTGAAGCAAAAAAGTCTGAGTGTCTAGAGGCGATGAAGTCTTTGATAGCATTTTTCAACTTTGACTTTGAACGTCGTGTCCTCTTGTCATCAAGATCCTCGTCTCCTTCCCGAAATCGTTTGAACCAAACTTGAGCGGTCCTAACAGAAGTAGCCTCATGACCAAATGCACAATTGATGTTTTCGCAACCTTTGCACTCTGTCCAAGCTTTAACTCATCCAAACACTCATCCCGTGCTCCCGTCTAACGTCCCGTGCCCTGTCTAACATCCCGTGCTCCGTCTAGCGTCCCGTGCTCCGCGCTGATTTATGCTACAATGTGCGCTTTAGTGTTAAAAGATAGCGCTTGAAATCTAGTATTAATATATTCTTTTGCTACCAAAATATAGTTGGGAAAAAGCTAGAAACAGGAAAAAATCTATGATTGGATTGGATTGGATTGGAAATTTACGCTAATTGATTTTGGCAAATTTACTCTTACTGGAAACTGGAATTTACTGGAAAATTTATCAAATAATCTTCAGTTTACCAACAAAAATCCACTAAAAAAGTCAATTTTAAAAGAAAAATCATTGCAAAAACCTCTTGAAAAATGGCCAGATCAAAATCAAACAAAGAAAAGCGCAAAAATTTTCTTTTGGGACAGCTGGCTTCATTTTTTCAGCTTTACCCTTTTCCCCAGCTCATTTTTTTTCACGATTGATCTCAGGGCCCAATCTATTAACCCAATCCAATCGAACACCAGAAAATTCTCCAATGTTTTCTTGAACCTAAAGAATTACTGATCTTGAATTCTTTGAGCTTGAATTCTTTGAGCTCTTCTTTGAGCTGGAATTCTTTGAGCTCTTTGAGCTCTTCTTTGAGCTTGAATTTTCTATATGACCCACACGGTGAACTATTGCGTTTTACGGCCTGGCTCGATGCGGAAAAAGAAAAGATTCAGTTCGAACGATGAGGCGAGCACAGGTTAAAGAAATTTCACATTGTAGCTAGTCGAATTTATTTCACTTTTTAAAACCCAGTGATCAATTTGAATTGTTGACTAGGGTGTCAACAAGAGAACCAACAAGAGAACCAACAAGAGAACCAACAATTTCCATGTGTAATCCTAGTGTAATGACTTTTTTTTTGGATTACGGGGTTGTGCAGAAAACATCTATTTTCTACGAGTCAAAATAGTGAGTCAAAGATTATTTTACTCGAGTAATTACTTACTTGCGAGGAACACAATCTAGTAGTAAAGGCTAGTAGTAAAGGCTGTAAAGGCTAGTGTAGCCTAGCACGCTGGCAGAGTTGTGCTTTATAATTGATCTGGCAGAGTTGTGCTTTATAATTGAATTAAATTCAGAGCAAAGCCAGAAAAAGTCGGATAATTTTGTTGAAAATGTCAAACTCAGTTAGTAAAAAAATTACTCATGCAAATTTACTCGAGTAATTACTTACTTACGAGGAACACAATGTAGTAGTAAAGGCTAGTAGTAAAGGCTGTAAAGACTAGTGCCTAGCACGCTTCCACTTTGCCACAAGCTCACATTTGGAAAACGATAAAGAAAGTTTTTAAAGCTTTTAAAGCTTTTAAATATAGCTTTCAAAGCTTTTAAATATAGCTTTTAAAGCTCTTAAATATAGCTTTTAAAACCCCATACCTAGGTTACCCCATACCTAGGATACCCCATACCTAGGTTACCCCATACCTAGGATACCCCATACCTAGGATACCCCATACCTAGGATACCCCATACCTAGGATACCCCATACCTAGGATACCCCATACCTAGGTTACCCCATACCTAGGTTACCCCATACCTAGCTATGGGGTAACTTCACCTTTCAGTACTGAACCCTTACTGAATCTTCAGTAAGAAATATAGAATCTTTTTGTAAACTTACCGATAAAAACATAGAGAAAATTAGTGTCAAAGTTGAGAGAACTGTATCTAGGAATAGGGTATCGGGTATGGGGTATCGCTTAAACATTGCTTTTAAAAGCTTTTAAACATAGCTTTTAATAGCTTTTAAACATCGGCCATTTTGGTCAATATTTCTATGCCAAATATCTCACGCTACAGAATCTCAAAACTAAAACCAGATTCGGAGTCAGCTTAAAAAGTTCTATCACTGGTTTCATTTTCAAAAACCACTTTTACCTGATGGCTTTCCCTTGTAAGTTATCGATTTTTTTTTTCGTTTATAAAAACGATTTTGTCTTATTCGATGTCTAAAAACGATCTTTTCTTCATCTTGGTTCAAATTCAGAAAATGACCAAAGGTTCTCACCTCTTTTTCCCCCTTTTTCATCATTTGAAATCCGATCCATTTCAGTTCAATTCTTGTGTCGATTTGAGGATCTTCAAACAGAAAAAAATAGAGAAATCCATTCGATTTCTTCCCACACATTTCATCGGAAAAAAAATAGAAATTAGGGATCAAATTTAAGCTTATTTTGATATGAATAACGAATCGTTTACTGTAGATTCTTTTTGAGAAAGTGCAAAACATCTGGCAAACCGTCTGGCAAACCGTCTGGCAAACTGTCTGGCAAACCGTCTAGCAAACCGTCTAGCAAACCGTCTAGCAAACCGTCTAGCAAACCGTCTAGCAAACCGTCTAGCAAACCATCTAGCAAACCATCTAGCAAACCGTCTGGCAAAGCTAATCGTTTTTTTGGCTTATTTACCCAACTGAGAAAATATCAGAATGATTTTTACTAAAAAAAAATTGTTAATCAAGGATCTAATATCCCATTTTCTTGATCTCAACCCAGAAAAAAAAAGATTGATTCGAATTTTTTCGCAAAAGCGAATCAGGTGTTCGTTCTTGAGAAAGACAAAGAGATTGATTGGGAGCTGATCGAAAAGATTGGGAAAAGAAAGGAAAGCAATGATTAGAAAAATCGAAGATTGAAGATTTCTGCTTCAAGCTGCTGGGTAACTAAATCAGAGCATTTTCTAGTCCTTTCGGTTTACCAGAAGAGAAATGTAACAGATTTGAACACAAAGGACTTCAGCCTTAGCGTTTAGAATGTCAAAAAAGTAAAAAATTAATTAAGGCTTTTGGGGAAATCTGCTTGTAACTGCTGTAAACTTGTAGCTCGTGGGATTTTTGTGATCTAAATTGATCTAAACTTAAGCTGGAAAAGAAGAATTTTCTTCAAAAATCTCTAAAATTTTAACGAAAAGCTGCACTCATTTTTTAACGAGTAATTTCTTGGAGTCTACTTGTAAATAATAGAACAAAATGTTCTTGAATTCGTGGTTTTGTTTTGAAGAAATTCTAGTCAAACTTTTTATGAGAACTTTCTTTCCAACTTAATAGCTCATCAATCCAGCTCCAGCTCCAGCTCCAGCTCATCAATGATCTCCAGCTCCAGCTCATCAATGATCTCCAGCTCCAGCTCATCAATGATCTCCAGCTCCAGCTCATCAATGATCTCCAGCTCCAGCTCCAGCTCATCAATGATCTCCAGCTCCAGCTCCAGCTCATCAATGATCTCCAGCTCCAGCTCCAGCTCCAGCTCATCAATGATCTCCAGCTCCAGCTCATCTCCAGCTCTTCAAAAAATGCTCAAACCTCCACAAAATAAAACCCATCAAAAGATAGCAGAAAGTGATGGTGGCAACGAAGAGCCCAATTCGCGTAAACGATGATCACCGTGTACACAAAACTTGGCACAACCGGCTTAAATGCTAATGAGGTGCCATTTTCCTAAACTTTTATCTGATCACTTCTTTCTGATATCACAGACGATTCCTAGTTGATTATAGGCGCCGACTTGAACAAAAATGAAAATTTTCTAAACTACTACATTTACTGAGTAAAAATCTTAGAAGATTAAGAAGAGCAGGTGCAATTTTTGCAGAAATATTATTAAACAGTCGCTTCTTTTTTACAATAGTCGATTCATGTTTTGAAATTTGGAATTATTTCCATTGTTTTTGCATTTATTGCTTTGTATGTACTTTGTAATGTACTTTGTACTTTGTAATGTACTTTGTAATGTACTTTGTGCCCAAATCTGTAAACGCGTGCCATTCAGCGCACTGGAAACTCAATTTTCACTTAATTTTCTTCAAATTAAATCATAAATTGTGAAATCCGGTGATTTCATGTTATTTTTCTATAGACCTTCGACTTGAATGCTATTTTTTTTCCAATTTTCTTGGCCTTGGTCTCTTTTTTTTTCTTTTAGCTTCTTGGAATCGAACACACCACTAATTGACTTCGAGAAAGGATCCAATACTCTTTTTTTTTCTCTTTAAAACCAAACACCTACACGTAGTTGTTTCCCCAATTGAGGCAATTTCCCTGTTTTTCTCCTTGAATGCTCTCAAAACGATCTAATCGATGGCCTTTGTTGATGCCAGGTTTGAAATCTTTTGGTAGAACAAGTTTGGTGTGCTTTGTGCAGCTAAACGCACTCTCTCTCTCTCTCTGGTGGACTCGATTGGGTAATTAAACCGCTTTACAAGCCTGTCAAAGCGTTTAGTATGTCAAATCGCTCACGTTTACGCTTCAGGGAACATAGTTGTTGGCAAAAAAACCTAATAGAAAAAAATCTTATTTTACAGCTTGAAAGGTGTAATTGTTCATCTCAAAATTCTTTCACTTTAACTAAAATTTAACGATCGATTCGAACGAACGAACGAACGATAATAAAACCAAAATTCCCGCGGTTCGAGTACGGGTTGGCAACTTTCCAACGATAAATTCTAAAATACACCTAACCTACCGTACTCGAGACAGCGTCTCCCTTCCTCCCCCGAAATTCCATTGCTGTAAAATTCTTGCTTTTCGAATCGTCGCAAGCAAATCGTTGCCCTGCTTGGCGCTTGCACTGTGCCTTCTGCGCTTATATGTTCCCCTTTCTCTATCCTGTTCTGTTTATTGTTTAAAATTCTGTTTATTGTTTAAATTCCCCTCCTTTTCTTATTGTTTCCACCACTCCTTTCGTGTTTCTGGGGGTGGGACAAATGCGACCTTCTTTTGCGCACCTGGACATTTGCGCACCTTTTTTTTTGCTGGAAAAGGCCTTAGGAAAGGTCGTAGAGCCTTAAAAATGTTTTCATATAGGGGAATCGTATGCGTAGATTCCGAATTTCGACAAATCAGACCTCGCTGACACGTCAAATTTGGACTAAAAGGCAAAAACTACGCAACTTAACGCTTTTCCGCAGTTTTCGCCTTTTAGCCCAAATTTGACGTGTCGGCGAGGTCTGATTTGTCGAAATTCGGAATCTACGCATACGATTCCCTTATATGGAAATATTTTCGAAGCTCTACGGCCTTGCCTAAAGCCTTTTCCAGCAAAAAAGGTGCGCAAATGTCCGGGTGCGCAAAAAAAGGTAGCATTTGTCCCACCCTTGTAAAAATTGCTAAAGTTTTAGAGTTTTTGTACTTTTCTCAGTTCTTTCTTTCTTCTTAGTCTTATTTACACTTATTTGACCCATGTCTTTCATCGATAAAGATTAAAAAACTAAATATCTTTTCTCGATAAACGCCAGTCAATCTAACCCCAGCCCCGAATCGTCTTGTTCTTCTCATTTTGAAAATTATTTAGAATTGGTGTTTCTGGGTTAAAAGATTTAGCAGTTTGGATAAGATTTTGACCTAGAATTTTGAAAACGATTTGCATTTTTGGAGCCGTAACATGTTACTCATTTCTAGGTCGCGAGGACCGTGCTCAGATGTGGTCAACGGGTGGCACGGCTTTTCACACATCATTCGACGAGCGCCCTTCAGCACATGGATCGCATCTCTCCATTTACAACTCATGCACGAATCTCGATGAACAGGTGAGTCAAAGTTTGGTATTAGATTGGCAATAAGTCTTGACAATTTTTCTCAAATTTTTGTTTCCATGGAAAAGCATTCTTTACCAAATTTGTTGTCAAATTTGCTGCGTCAAAACTATCAAAAAGATCATTTCTCTGCAAAATGCCTTTTAAGAGAAAGCTCAAAGCTCACCTTAATTCAGTAAAAAAGCCTTTTTTGTAAATTTTACTCATTTTAATACTCAATTACTCATTTTAAAGAAAATGACTGAACGGATTGTTTTCAATTTTTACAGACTTATGTAACCAAATGAGCTCTATCTTTTTAGCACCAAAATAGCACCAAAATAGCACTAAAATAGGTTTGTATTGAGCTCTATCTTTTTAGCACCAAAATAGCGCTAAAATAGGTTTGTATTGAATTGAACAGTTTTGTGCTCTCCTTTGAAAAACTACAAAAACAACTACTTCCAAGAATTTCTTAAAAGCCATTTTGCAGAGAAACAATTAACTCATTTAATAGTTTAAATAGAAATTTGGTTGGTGGCGGTATTATTTGTAAAAAACGTTTGGAAAAAAATTGTAAAGACGAACCTAATGCTAATAAACTTCATGAAACTTTGACCCGATTTGGTCAGATCCTATTCTAAACATGTTTTTTCTAGTCTTTTTTTGCATTTTCTGGAGTAATCTTAATCGATTGACGATATTTTTAGAATATTTTGAACAAGTTAACACTTTGTATTTTGCCGCTCTCTTCATTTTTAAGCTTAGCGACATTGCAGAGGCAAAAACTTCAGCTAACTCCAGTTGGCTTATCAAATATCGATAAAAATTGTTCAAAAGCTTCTAAAAATATTGTCAATGGATTTATCATGCTTGATTGCACTAGAAAAAGTAAAATAACGTTGGTAAAATAGTCAAAAAATACGATCTGGTCAACCAAATCAACCAAAATGGGTCAAAGTGGGCTGAAAATTTCCAAGATTTCAACTTTACATCAAGCAAAGGATGGTATCAATTGAAAATTTTGCAAGAATTGAAAATTTTGTAAGCGTAGCAGTAGGAAATTTGAAATTCAAACTCGGATTCCAGCTATTTTTAGGGCAGTTAGTTTTAGTTTTAGGGCAGACCACGCATTTTTAGAAGTGTTTAAAGTAAAATTTTAATGCTTTTCACCAGCACACACCTGTTTTTTGTCATTCTGTTCATTTTTTAAACCCAAACATCACTCTCTGATTTCACTTTTGTAATCGTAAGTGTCATTTTTTAAGCTTTTTCTACTCTTACTTTGTTTTCAAGTTTCTTGACGCAATGAAATCACTTTAGTAGATTATCCAAAGAAAATCTTTTGGCTCGGTTTAGTGGAAGATCAAACAAAGTTCCAAAAATAGTCATCTTTTACTTTTGCTGGGATTATCTTTGACTATATAATGAGCCTGAAACCGGTATATGTTTTTGTGTCTGTCTGTCTGTCTGAAAAGTTTTTATAGACCGGGTAATTGAACCAAGCACATTCAAGTTACAAAATATCAGATTTTTTTAGGAATTTCAAGTTATTCGAACAATTTTCTTGTGATCTTCCAAAAGCCACTCGTTTTCCTCGTAAAGTCATTCCATTTGACGTTTGTCCTTGATTCGAATTTCCGTCTAAAGCCGCTATCCAACTTTGAATGAAACTTGGTACAAAAAAATATAATTATTTCAGAAATAGAAACCTTCTATTTTCCAATGAATCATCGCAAAGTTACCCAGTGATCGCGAATTCTAGCGACAACTTTGTGGAAGTGTAGCTGGGAAATGTCTAATTCGTTTCAAAAGTGTCAAGTGTTAGATAGAGAATTGTAGGCCTTAATCTTGGCTACATTTTTCTACAGAAAACTTCTCAATCGGATTTATGCAACTCGTTTAACAAGCCCTTGAATGAGCGCTAGTCGATTTCTCTGACGATCTGCCATTTTTCACGATTTTCTACATTAGAAAAAATTCACTTTCAGTCAAATTTGTAGCAAGAACAGCTGATATAACGAGAGCTGAAGATCGAAAGTCTCAATTTTCATCTTTTTTCCCTGCTCCTCCCTCTCAACTTAAATTCTGGTTATACCAGTTCAACCAAAGCAATTAAATGTAATTCTTAATGTTATTCAGTGATAAGCTATTTTTGCATTAAAGAAATATTTAAAAACTTAACAATTTTGGAGAAAAGCGGTCAAATGATCGCTGGAGACTGGCGCTCATTCAAGCGCTTGTTAAATGAGTTGCATCAGGCCAATCCGAGAGTTTCTGCCAGAGAAATGTAGCCAAGATTAAGGCCTACAATCCTCTATATAACACTTGCCACTTTTGAAATGAATTAGACATTTCCCAGCTACTTTTCCAAAAAGTTATCCCTAGGATTCGCTAGCTCGTTTCCTCTCGATTTTCTCTACTCCAGATCATTTAAACAAGCTCTATTTGGTATCATTCGAAAGCCTGAAATCTCCTCTATCTAACGATATAAAAAGTTAGCAATAATGTTATCTCTGGGTAAAGTTATGGGCATTCAAAGTTTGGCCACCCATACAATGCCTCTGTTTCTCGGTAATCGAAATTGCTCCAAATTTTCAATTCTAATGCAATTTTAAGCCCTTTTTCACGAATCTGAAGCAAAATTTCCAAAAATGACTCTCAAATTCAATGCAAATTCCAAAAGAGTTCTATTTTTCCCTTTTCTTCACCTAAAATTGCCTTTTGGCATCACTGCCGGTCTAATTTCATTTCATTTTTCTTTCTTTCTTTCTTTTTTGTTTCTTTCTTTTTTTCTCTTTGTTTCTCAGCTTTTTTTTTACTCTTTTTACGTTTTTCTTTACAAATTCCAGGTTTTCATCGGTTTTTCTCTATTTCCTCTTTATTTTCCTTTTTTTCTTTCAGAAAATCTCGAATCAGGAAATTTTTTGGCTTGCTTGGCTGTTTCAAGATATTCAATTGAAAAATGGATTCTCTAAAGTTCTCAGGAATCTCAAATTTATATAAAATGACCGTAAACTGTTCTTCTATTGGGTTACGGTAGCTTTATCTCATTGAAATTCGTAAATCAGGCAAATCAGACGTAAACAGAAGGACTGCGTTTCCCGGCCCTTTTTGAGCACAAAGTCCAAGGAACACGTCACTTTGATCTTGTGTGAGTTCTCGAAAATTGAAAAAAAATGATTCGAACTCTCATTATCTTCCTTTACTCGCAATTTTTTGATCCTTTTTGAGCTAATGAAACTCATTATCTACTCACATTTTTTTTGCTTTTTAACTGTTTGAAGAAAAATTTCATTCAAAATTCATCACTTCTTAGAATTTAGAATTCAAAATCAAGCCTTTGAAATGTACTTTGTGATTAGATTCGTAATCACTCTTTCTGGTGCACTGAATGCATCCATTTTCTCCTGAGGTGACCACTTGGTAGGATCAACCAGATATCTGAACTAAGATAAGCATGGCTTAGTCTTTAACCCGAGCTAGCAACATTTCATTTCATTATGCTTTTTTCTTTACATTAACCTTAAAAATACTTCCTTCTTCTCAAAAATTGCCTTAATTTTTCAGCCATTCTTGTCTAGTTAAATTCCTTTTCAGAAAAAAGCTATCAGCCTTTTTCTACACTAACGAACTCTCAATGATCTTTTTGTTATCCTTTTTCCTTTGAAAGATCCGGAACTTTTCCAGACTTCAATAGACTTGTTCTTTGAAGTTTACTTTAAAATAAACGCCTATCTTCTGGTGCACTGAATTCTTTAATCTATTATAAATAAAAGAGCGCGCAGGACGTCGGTATGCGCTTTTTCTTAGTCGTCTTTAGGAAAGAAAGCTACAACTTCTTTAGAAAATCTTAGGATATAATATATTGGGTTGGGGACTATGACTCGGCGCCAAACTTTAAAGGGACTTTTTGCACACATAAAGCCTTCTTTAAACATACGTTTGGTTTCATCAAAAGGATCCACTATTTCTCTACAAAATCACTTTTGAGAGATTCCACAAAGCTTTTCTTTCGTGGAGTTTATGGACTCCCAAACACAGCTAGTCAAAATGGCAAAGAGCCCGACTCATCATTTGAACAGTTTCTTTCACATAAACCTTCTTTGGTGTTTATATAAAAAAGATAGAGCACATTCAATTACTTAAGTTGCCAAATTTGCAGGAAGATCCCACCAATGGTTTTTTCTAGATCACAGTTTGTAGTTTTTGTGAAAAAATGGCTTTTTCTTGAGCGGAGGCGCTGTTTGAATTTTCTTTCAAATGTCATTTTGTAGAGAATTCGTTAACCATTCTACTCATATCAAACGCATATTATTTGACGAAGTCGAATAGAAGTTTTAGACATTTTTTGATTTTCGGCGCCGAGTCATAGTCCCCAACCCAATAGTTTGCTATTTAAAGTGAAAAAAATAAAAATTGACTGGTACTACGGGAGGTCGAACCCGGATCTTTTGGGTCCGGCCGGGCGGATGACGGGCCTCATCGCCGTAGCGCAGTCAGGAGCGCGCTTGTCTATCGCCCACGCGCTCCGGGATAGACAAGCGCGCTCCCGACTGCGCTACGGCGATGAGGCCCGTCATCCGCCCGACCCGACCCACACGATCCGGGTTCGGCTCCCCGTAGTGGCGCACAACTTTGACTTTTTGGATTTGATCTACATTTTATAATCTATTTTGGTATATTTAGGCTTTATATATGTCCTAGGGGATTATGAATGAAATTTTTTGGTAAATCTTTCTAGTAGAGCAACCCTTTAATGTATGAGGACCATATTATATCATCTTGTAGCGAATTAAATTCTACGTCGATTGGTACCAAATTTGTGAGTTTAGGTTAAAAATTGCCGGCGCTACAACCTTTCATTCAAAATCGGCGGGACCCCCGTAGCCGATTATGAATGAGTGGGTCTAGGAGCGTCCAATCATCAAGTATTTAGTATCATTCAACGCAGAATCATTAATAATTATGTTAAATTTTTAAAATTAGAAAGATTTGATAAAAAGAAAAAAAAATTAGAGCAAAAAACTGTTTATTCAAGAGGAAACTTTGAGGCCCCATAATTTTTTTTCTTTTTATCCAATCTTTCTAATTTTAAAAATTTAACATAATTATTAATGATTCTGCGTTGAATGATACCAAATACTTGATGATTGGACGCTCCTAGACCGACTCATTCATAATCGGCTACGACATATACAACCCCCGCTTGTCTCGTGTCTCGTTTGCAAATTCGCGAGCATAAAGTACATTCTAAAGAGCTGTGCTCTCGCTCTCGCTTTAGAGCTGTGCTCTAAAGAGCTCTCGAGAAAAACGAAGAATTCAGTGCATTAGGAACAAATGAGCACAAAATTAAACTCCCAAAACACGTTTGAACTTGTTCAAGGGTGTACTTTGTGCTCAAATCGTGTGAACGAACACGGTTTCTAGCGCACTCTTGTCTCATGAGCTTTAAACACGCCAGAAAGTGTGCGTTTACAAAGTCGCGAGCATAAAGTACATTCTAAAGAACTCCTTTTCAAAACCGGTTTCCGAAATTACCCCAATTTTCTTGATCCTTGAGCACTAGATCAACAAAAAGCCCTCCTTGAGCCCTAAAATAATAAGTGGAATTTATTTTAGGATTGAAATTAAAAAAGAAAAAAGCTCCCCAGTCCCAAATTTCATCTCATTTACAACCTTTTCTACATAAAAATTCGAAAAAGAATTCAAAATACTTCAAAAAAACTCAAAAAACACTCAAAATACATTTGCTATTTGAGAAATTCGAATTTTAAATGATTTTTAAATGATTTTTCAATGAATTTTCAATGAATTTTCAATTTCACAAGTTCATTTTCCTTACCCAGATCGAATTTTTTGAGTAAAATGTCTGTTGAATTGTTAAAAATTTAAAAAATTTACCTTAAAAGAACAGAAACTGGTGTGAAAATCGTTAAAATCGTCGAAATTTCCGAAATTTCCGAAATTTTCAGAAGAATTTGGTATTTTACCCGCTTTTATCTCATATTTTTCAATGAAAACTGGCGGATTTTCGTGAAATTTTTGAAATTTTTGAACTTTTTGAACTTTTTGAACTTTTTATCTCTTTTGTTGTTTAAAGTTTAAAAATTTCCTCTTTTCTGGCGATTTTTCCTCAAGTTTCATTGCATTTTCAAGCATTTCTAAGAGTATTTTTGGCTTCTAAAAGTATTCTTTTATTTCCAAAGACCAAATTTCCCCCAAAACATCACTTTTTCTCGTTCTCTTCAAGTGAAAAATAGAAAATTATTAATTTTTAGTTATTTTTAGTGGTTTTTGGTGGTTTTTGGTGATTTTTGGTGAAGCCATAGAAGATTTTATTAATAATTTCTTGATTGAGTATCTTTTTTTAAGTGGAATTACGATAATTGATTGGAAGAGGGAGATTTTAGAGGAGTCATTTGATGGGGGCTTTTTCGAGACCCGGCCAAATGGCTTCCTTGGCTAAGTGGCTGAGCACTAGATCTTCCACTCGCACGATCATGGTTCGATCCCTGTAGCGGTGAAGCCATAGAAGATTTTATTAATAATTTCTTGATTGAATATCTT